GAAATGGTCTTCGGGCTGATTCATCAGAATTATTCTTTTCTTATATAATAGAGGGAATCGTACAGTTGCATATCACTGGCAGGATTATCAAAAATCGTCAGCCCTCCCCAATAATCTATTGGTCCATTCCACATGCCATTTACTGGAGAAATAAGAAAAAGTAAAGTAAGCAGTTGCATAGAATTTCTAGAGCTTTCAAAAGGGATTTGATCTTATTTTGTTTCCATCGATATCCTCAGAGAGTTAACAGGATCCAGAGCATCTTTGGCTAAAAAGGGGAAAAGAACTAACGAAAAAGGAAAATTATTAGTGTGGGGAGGGGGTTGTAAGCCTAAATTGGGGTATAAGCTCTTATGCATCAGCTGTTTCTCTGCTGTATTTAGTGATAACAAGTTATTTGTTATTAGTAGTCTTAATGTTTGTTATAAATTTAAATGCTGTGAATGGCTTTGTCAACCTTTTAGATCAAAAGTGAGATACAAAACGTAAATGGTTTGAGTGCTGTACATGGGCCTGGAAAGCGTATCTTGCAATTCTTGTTTAAAAATAATTTAAAAGGTTCTGAGATAATTAAAAAAAAATTAAGTCAATATATTTTGCACTGTACTGCATTCAAGATGTTTGTGTTGCATTAATGGTCTTTGACAATCCACCTGTCTCAAGATATAAAGGCAAATCCACATGACAAAAGACTACAAGAATAGTAGCAGCAACAATGAGCATTCCAAGGTCGATTGGTGAGAAACAACATTATCAATTATTTCAGTGAGAGACTGCATATATTGAAAATGTTAAGTGTAAAAGTGTTATATTTCTACATTCAAAATTAAAAGAAAAGCCTACGGCATTATAACAATTCTTAACTACTGAAATAAAACATTTTTCAGCGTGTAGATTAACTCCATCTCCAGGCCCAAGTCAATAAATAGTGCTTGAGGGGGGGAAATGCTAGTGAATATATGTTTCTGCACACCTTCCCCTGTAAGTCCATTATTTGTATGGATGTTTATATAGTTATCAGTTCTATCCATGAACATGGAAAAGAAAGTGTCCCATGCAATGTTACTGCTGCATTGTTGCTTAAAAAATTGTTAAGAAAACTAATTGTATTGTGTCTTCTGTAGAACTCAAGAATACAGTACAATGGTTAGAATGCTAGTTAGAAACATCCAAGCTTAAATCAGCTCAGAACCTCAGAACTAGGATGAGACATTTGCCCTTAGTCAACACCTACCTATCCCATTAGGACCACAGCTAAGATGACAAGAAAAGACTTTGTAGGCTGCAGAAGCTATATGGAAAAAGAGTAGGCTAAACTATGATGGAGGAGTTAGTCACTCTTTCCTCAGAATCTTAGCAAGCATCAGTACTACCAACAGTCATTCAGCAAATAGATTTTTATCTGCCATCCACAAGGCATCCCAAAATGACTAAGGCTGACAAGTTTTGAAGAGCAAATGGGGAGCAGCAGCATAGGAGAATTAAGTGTTAAATGTTTGTATCACCGCATGGAAGCAGGTGACACTCAGCCTGATCATTCAGACAATTGAGAAGTGAACCCCTCATCACATCTTGGGGAGGGAGGGGATTTTCATTTAGCCCATCTCTTTACCCCCTCTTGTTTACAAGAGGACATTATAATACACCTTGTATTTACTTTGCATTACAGAATTATCAAGATGATTAATGGAATTAAATCTCCTGGAAAATTCTAGAACCTACATAGGTAAGATTCACCTGTCATGGTGTATATTTGACTAGAATGTCAAGGATGCCGTTGCCTAGAAATCAGAGGAATTGTTTAAACTCTGTAGTTCAACAAAAATGCAAAACTTTCCTCAAACAGGCATTCTAAAACTGACAGATTACAATTCCTATCTAACCCTAAATTAGCCTGATAAAAACTGAAGACAAAAAGCCCATCTGGGGCTTATCAACTATCCCTTATCAAAAGTCCATTACCATTAGGAGAAAATAGCACACTAAACTTCTGCTATCTTCATTTTTCACTCAACAAAAAGATTTACATTACAGTCCCTGGTGTACAATTTGAAACACATCGTTTTAAGAATATTACAACTCACTATGTTCAGGGCTCATGATCACCACTGCCTTTTTAATTTCCCTACTCTGAGGCCCAAAACTGTTTTTGGTTTTGATTCAGTTTCCGGTGAGATTTATTTCTAGTTACCATAGATAAAGTTTGTTAATATACTCTTCAATAAAAAGTTATGCCTGCTACAAATTACCCAGTGTTAATCTGCAACGGAAATTAAAACATGATCATAAAAACCGATGATGTATTAATATTTTGCTGAACAAACCAATACTGTCTGGATTCATACAGGATACCAAGCCAAACACCAAATAAATCACTTTACAGCTGAGCACAATGCAAGCCACACATAGCACACACACAAACACATATGATCTGCATTATGTGTGTTTATGTGTGTGTGTGTGTGTGTATGTGTATGTGTATGTATATGTATGTATGTATGTATGTATGTGTGTATATATATATATATATATATATATATATA